AAATGTTTCAGTACTGGCAAAACCAAAGTAATAGGCCCATATCCCCCACGCAAAAAGCACAAACTGCAAATCAACATCACAATGATGCGTTAGCAATAACAAACTTGAGCCTAACCCGGTCTGCTGGGGCATTCTCATAGCTGCACAGCTTTGGGTTTTACCAGAAATTAATGTTCTTTACTAAAAAGTTAGCTTAAAAGCTGTTCAGCAATGTTTTGCTGGTGCTCTTTGTGATATTATTTCATACTTAATCTGCCAAGTACCAGTAGTGTGGGAAATGGCAGCTTTGAGACTTGTTGGAGGATGATCCATGTGCGTTGAATAGGTGGCGCTAGTATAGAATGCAGTTTTCTTGGCCTATCAAAGAAAAACTGCTCTCGCCTAACGAATATCAACATCGGTGCGGTACGAGAGACTTGAAAGATTTTCATTAAGCCGTGTGCCAAGGGAAAGCTTTGTCTCAGCTGATTCCACGGGATTCACCCGCTCGATGACACACCCCGATGTAGAGCCCAGCTGCGACAGTATTGTTACCGTGCGACCTCCGCAAACACGCGTTTTGGGTTTCCGGTGTACAAGCAGTCTTGTTTGGGCTGGTGAATCGAATATGCAGACTCGGCCAGGAACAAGTTGTGCTTAGGATCACCACGCCCTCCACGCCCTCCACCCTCCACGCCCGGGGTGCAAACTCTAGGGCCTTGCTATATGCATAAAGTTGTACACCAGATAAAATATTCTGAGTCATATGGTATGCATGGTTTTGTTTTCGGCATGTGAGTTGTCTTCGAGGAATGAACGCCTGAGACAATACTAAACAACATACTCGTGCAACGAGTTCGTACTCAACAACGCATAGCGTTGCCGTGATTAGGCAATCAATCGGCAATGTCTGGTCCGCATATTTGACCTTAGACCGGGACATTTTTGTACGACGGCTTGAGAAGCCCTCGGTAGCGTGGTTTCCATACGCGAAGCTATTTTGAATCGGTTGCCGCCCGCGGCATGGTGCTACCTGCGACGGCCTACGGCGCCCAGCATACGGTGACTGCAACGCCGGGCGCCAGGTTACAGCAACATTTGGATCGGCTTGCGCGTCTCGAATTTAAGTTTTTGGGAAAAACGTTTGCCATGTCGTGTACTTCTGGGCTCAGGTGCAAAGGATTTTTTGTTTTTCCTTGGCTTTGTTTCTGATGACACACCCTCATGCACAATCTGATGTGCATGCCTACTAACGTACAACGCATCGGAGTGGCACTTCCGTGTTTCTTTTGTTAAGTATTATATGCATGCACATGATCCATAGAATGCATGCACATAGTTGAATAGATGCCTGCCCACAACTGAACATACGCGGGTATATGCTCATTATATACATAAATATAATTCAAATGTAAACAAATCATTTAATGGATGTATGTGCATAGCTCAATAGATGTTTGCTTAATTGTGGGTAGTGGGGAAAACAGAAATCACGAGTGGTTGCACGCTTGCTTCGCTGCGCAGATAAAAAACGCAGAAATTTTGATTATCCATCTTTTGCAGTTTAAATCACGGTTCTAGGTGCCCTGGTGGCCGAGATGTGGCACAAAATGTGAAAAACAACCGGCACCGGCCAAATCTGTCTTGCTGGCTCGTGCATGCGTTACACGCAGTACGTGCGACGTGACAATTCATGCAACGTGGTGCACGTGGAACGCGGCACGTGCGACATCACATCTTGCATCACGTGATGGCCAGTTCGAAGTGGCACGCTTCGATAAGGAATTCTGAGTGTATCCGTTTCTTGGGTGCAGAGATTTGGCAGTGTGAACCCGCGGAAGAGAGATAAGTTAATCATTGAGCGCGTGCTGTGTGGTGCATGCGACCGTGGCATTTTGCATGGCACATCTTCTCGTGCCACTCCCGGGCTGCTCTGACCCGCCGTTGTCGAGATCTCGGTGAGAGATGGCGTAATCGGTCAGATGCAAATTATTATGGTGGTCAGTCACGTGATCAGACGGCCGTTCAACCCTTAAACAACCGCAGGCATCACCCGAAACACCGCACAGCGCCGTTCCGTCGCGGCGTAAAAAGCCGCCATGCAACCCATTAATATAGGCTAATTACGGAGCAAACCATTGTAAAGATATGCTATCAACAAAAGGATGGTATAGGGAGAAAATGAATTGGCCAACACGCTGGTGTAGTTTTCAACGCTAAATCATGAATAGTTTTGACGGTAGCGGCTTGTGTTCGGCACTGGTTTTTAAAACTTGGCCGTTTACAGCATGCTTGCAATTTGCAGCGCAACGGTCCGTTGTGTCCACGTGCACAACCAACAGCAGCCTCGCGTCTCCGAGTCCGGTGAGTGCGCGACCATACATAGTAGACAAACGGTGCGCCTTATATACTAGGACCATCGCAAACGAGTCGTCGTCGCATGTTACGGAAATGATGTGATAATTAACCAATGATAACCGAGTACGATTTCGTGCGATGGTCGGCTAAGCCAATTACAGAGTGGGGTATTGCCTTGCGATCCCGGAACTATCTGCTACAGTGGATAGCTGAGTGAGGGCGACTTCTTAAAGGAGGTATTGAACCTCATTGTTCGTGCGAAAGGGTTCGTTAGTATTCCGGAGGACCATCGACTTGAGACGCCGAAAGAATAGAGTCTCTATTAGCCAAAGCGTTGCAAGGCAAAGGTGAGAGGGGCTGGAAGGGCGGCGTCGCACACTCCGAAGTCGTCGTCGTCGTAAACGCTGTCGCGGCTCGCGTCCAGCCGCGCCGGCGGAGTCTGAACGTGGACTGACCGGCAGGGACCGTGCGTCCCCGCCCGCGTGTCCCCGTAAACCCACGTGGGCTTATGGGCTCAAGATGGTGAGAACCAATCGGCAGAGGGGTCGCTCACACCCTCGCGGAGCCGCCGCCGCCGCGCCGGCAGCGATGGCCCGTTTGCTCGCTAACACTCATTACCGCAAGTTCCAATGGAACAGATGGCATGTGGTGAGTGATCAGTTTGTCCCACGCCTGGGTTTGAACGAAGGCGAATGTAGTAGCTGCACATAACGTAACCAAGTGTTTCACCACAACTTCTCTGTATTTTGGTCTTGCACCGCAGGAGCCCCTGACGGAGCACCTACCCTCGCTGCTCTCCCAACCGCGACTCCCCACAGCGGGGGGCGCGAGCCGGGGCCGTGCGAACGAGCCGGGGCCGTGCGAACTGCGGCGGCGGCGCGCGTCTGCCGCGCAGCCGGGGCCGGTCTGCGAACCTGACCACGTGCCGCGCCCCGCCCCAGCAGGGGCGCAGACACAACGTACAACTGCACTTCGAACACCCCACCCTGATCCTAATGATCAACAAGTACACAATCGCACGGGCCTTCGCTCTCGTCCGCTCCGACGCGGCAGCACTCGCTCGTCACTGTCGCCTGTCACACCGGCACCATCATTAGCAGCCACACCGCCTTTTCGGCCACGAAGCGGCTGGCTGTGGCCGGCCGCTGCTCAGCCGGCCTCGGGAGGCCAGCCCGTCGCTACATCGGCAGCGGGAGACCACTCCAGCGCCCCACCGGCCGCGGGAGACCGACCCGTCGCTCCACTGTCCGCGGGAGGCTGCTCCACCGCTCCACCGGCCGCGGGAGGCTGCTCCACCGCTCCACCGACCGCGGGAGGCTGCTCCACCGTTCCACCGGCAGCGGGAGGCTGCTCCACCGCTCCACCGGCCGCGGGAGGCTGCTCCACCGCTCCTCCGGTCACGGGAGGCTGCTCCACCGCTCTACGCCATCTGCAGCACTGGCGCTGGCGTCCGCCCACTTCCAGGCGACCGTCCACGCCTGCTGCTCGCCGCTCTCTGCCCCCGGCCATGGCCGGCCGGCTCGGGTGACACGACAGCGGCTGCGCTCGCATCACAAGCCGCTGCCTCCACCGGAGACGCTGACCCAGCCGGCAGTGCATCGACCCCGAACTGCACTGCATTCGACGCACTGACGGACACGCCCCGAAGCACCCTCACGCCGTTCATTCCCAGAATGAACCCGAAGTTCAGCGGCTTACAGACAGTCACAAGCACCTCTATTCGGGCCGCACCCAACACTGCGCTCGCAGTCACTTGTCCGGTACCTTCGCACGTGTAGCTGTCTCTACTTTCTCAAGCCAGTCCATTTTGCCGAAATGGCTTGTAACGGGACGCTAAGTGTTTCACCACGTGTTTTTCGCTAAGTGTTCTCTTCTCCGTATTTCGGTCTCGCACCGCAGGAGCCCCTGACGGTGCACCTACCCTCGCTGCTCTCCCAACGGCGACTCCCCACAGCGGGGGCCGCGAGCCGGGGCCGTGCGAACTGCGGCGGCGGCGCGCGTCTGCCGCGCAGCCGGGGCCGGCCTGCGAACCTGATCACGTGCCGCGCCCCGCCCCAGCAGCGGCGCAGGACACAACGTGCAACTGCACTACGAACACGTAACCCACCCGGCCCTGCAGCTGATGTAATCGCGCACCACCCGACCGAGGGCAAGCCACTCGGCCGGCGGGTCCAGTTACTCAAGGTGTCCTAGAAGCGCCGGAACGCTTTACACCTCGCCGTCCGCCGTGCTGGGCGGACTGCGAGGAGAAACCAGAGAAACCAGAGAAACCAGAAGTTTCTCTGGGCGGCATGTCCTAGCTCCACCGAAACCACCATCTCCGTCATCCCCGCCCCGGATGCGCTCCTGGAACATGTTCTTCCGCTTTGCAGTGTTTAGCCACGTCGATGCGTTCCTCGCCAGGTTCATTGTTTCGGCCACCAGCGGCACTTCTTTTGCTTCCTCAACAAGCGTTAGGCCCAACACGTGGCTGGGACAGTGCGCGATGTTGGACTTAGGCTGCTTCTGGAAAAGCTTGCCTGCCCTCCAGACACCCTGCGATACATCTTACTGTCACCATAAACACAATCGTTCGCACAAGGTCCGTGCCACTAAGCAATCTGATCATGGCATCCTTCTCAACACCAAACAAAGACACGGCGCCAGCGTTGGGACACTCACACATGCCCATGAAGACTTCGTATGGCTTCGAGTCATCCACGTGCCTGAAGCAGACGGACAGCTGTTCGGTAGCTGATGCGTCGGTGGTGACGTCCGCGATCAGCGAAAAGAAACGCACCGCTCTCACCTCCTGGAGTAACTCCTGCTGCTCGCATCGCCACCATGATGCTCAGTAGGTCATGTTGAATCTCATAAGTCAGGAAATTTGTTTTGCGGTTAACCCACGAGCTCATCTCGAGGCCAGTGGCAATACGATCTGGGATGAGTCTTTTCAAGTTACCATCGTTGTCAAAATGCCCCGGAAAGCCATGCCGCACCGAGCCTAGCCTTGCAGCTCACAGATCACTTCAGAGCAGGCTTTTCGATTCGCGGCCTGCTCTCCTTAAAAACAGCTCTGGCTTCGACAGTTGAAAAACGTCACTTTCCAAGCCTAACGTGGGTCATGTCTGAGTTTAACCAGACGTGACCCATCCCGGGCCTGAAGGATGAGAGGTGCTTTTTCGGCACATGAGATGCCTATCTTCTCAGCCTAAAATGGACGGTCACTCCATTAATAAGAACTCTCTTGAGCCGAATATGGCCCTTCCCTGGCTTGAAAGGGTCCCTTCGGAACCAACCAGGTGCCTTCCCTACCCAAAAACGGGCCCTTTTTTATTTTACGATGAGCCTTTCCTGATCGCAGATGTGCCATTCCCAGGCCTTAACTTACATGGACGTTTCTTATCTGGAAATGGGCTCTTTTCAGACCTGAGACGGTCTCATCATATGTTAGAGGCGGGGCGCATGCCGGGGGGGGGGGGGGCATCGGGGGCACATCGTGTCTCCCCTCTGGTCCGGGCGGGCCCTTAGGGCTCCTCGGGACCGACGATCAAAGGCCCAACTAGTGGTCCCGAAGAGTTGGCCAGAGGCTGTATCAAAGGAACCCGACCTGCAAATGCCCATCAGAGGGCCTCTTGCGCCGACTGGGGGGGGGGGGGGGGAGGCCTGGGAACATTGAGGGTCCGCCAGTCGATTGGCCACCAAGAATTTCGAACGGTCTGCCCCGTGGCAGCCTAGGGCTAATTTCCAAAGCCGGGACCGTCCTGGCGCCTGCGATTGTCAGTCAGAGGACCCTTAGCATTGGTCAGCGCCCTGGAGGCAGTGAGGGACCGCTGTGTTGGTCCCTTAACCCCTGACTGGGAAAGACAATGGGGCGCCCCAGTGTTTTTCTTACGGGGTTCTTCTGTCCGCGAAAGGTAAGGGTCCCTTTAGTGTTCAATCCACTGGGCCCCTCCACGAACGCATTCGTCGGCATAATGATGCAAATGGAGAAAAGCTGGGGCTCCTGGAAATAAAATGGGCCCATTCTGCTGGTTATTCGGGGCACCTTTTCACAGGGAGTCCTTGATCAAACTGCATGCCGCCTCCATCCCTCCCTGCCAAAACTGTATTACCTTGGCCTGTTTGGCCTCTCCCCTGATATGAGATGGAGCTTGTGGGATCTGAGACAGGTTCCTTTTGGGACTGTGTGTTTAGACAGGCCATTTCCAGACCTGAAATGCCTGCTCTCTCAGTCTAAAAAGTGACATTTTGTGATTTAAGGAAGGTCCTACCTGAGGCCTACCATGGGCTTTTTCCAGACCTGAGAGGGCCCTTTCTGTGCTCACAATGGGCCCCACCCAGACCTGGGACGGACCACTACTCAGTTTGTGGTGGGCTTGTCCTGATAAGAAATAAGCCGTTTTGAGTCTACAATGAGCCCTTTTCAGACCGGAAAAGACGTCAATATAGATATCCCGTGCCTGAAACTGTTACAGGGGTTTCCTGCTTTGAAATTGACCCTTTCCGTGCTTGAGATGGGCTCTCTACGATACTTTGATAACACTAAATAAAAGAATGTCTTCAACAAATCCGCCGGGGACCCCATGTGGGCCACCTGAAATTTGTGGGAAAAGTAGTTTTGACCCTTACCTCATGCATGGGGACAGCTTGCCCCGCGTATACACCGCCACTTGCTTTCTGAGCCTACAATGGGCCCATTCCGGGCCAGAGATGGGTCCTTCCCAGGTCCGAAAAGTGAGGTAGGTCTTTTCCGAGTCCGAAGCTCTCCGTTTGTCAGCCTTTACTAGGTCCCTACCTCACTTAAGACGGGCTGTTTCTGAGGTTATGACTCTTTCTCTAACTCTACTCTTTCCAGACTAAGGTGTAGAGATAGAGGGCCTATTATTGACTGTGTGACTATTTTGGGCTGCATGGGGCCCAATCAGGCCTGAAAAGGACCCATTTCGATCCGTACAATGGCGCTTTGGGGCACGTCTGCTCCCCTTAGGCCCCTCCGGACGAACGATTAGGGGTCAGAAAGGCTGTCAGACGTTGCATTAAGGGGCCCTCGAATGCCAATCAGAGAGCCCTTCGCGCCAATTACGGTCATCTTGGGTTGATGAGGGCCTGTACATCGGTCGGACACCACCAGCACTGAGCAGTCAGCTCCGTAGGCAAGAGTGGAGCAGATCGGCCAGGCATAACACAGTGTGGGGTTAAAAATGAGACAGGGTGGAGGTTACCACTGACATCAGAACATAGATCCGACCTGCCACGATAGCCTCTAAGGATATTTCGTTGTAGCACGCTCTTTACAATTCAGTATTGGTTTCTACCTTTCCTTTAAAAAGGTCCTTTATTCATAGGCTGCAGGCACGTAGGGATCCAATGCCCTAATCCGGTTTGAAAATCCAGGCACGGTAGGCAATGAATGCGGTCGGCCAGTATATGCGAAATACCGCCGAGCGGTTTTTTGAAGTCCGAGTAACATCGTACTAGCTTTGCCGCAATGTAATCCTACCGATGGGTGGGACCTTTATCATGGTTGAATCGAGAATATAGCCCCTTAGTGAAAATCTACGCGAATAATAGATGTTTCCTGCAAGAAGGTTGCTGGTATAGGGAACTGTCCCCACTCTATCCGAAGATAGAGTTGGACACCTCCCCCTCCCCCCGCTGGCGCCGCCCCTGGCTGTGTCTGTCTGGGAACGGAACACTTCCATTCTCCAATCCCGGGGCTTGCACTGGCCCCGTTGAGTCCACTGGAGCCAATCACACACGTTTTGCGCAGTTGGCCGGCAGCGGACGCCGCTGATAACCGCGTTCAGGGCGGCCTGTGCTGCCAGGAGCGCCGACAGCCGCGGTCCGGCAGAGCACAAGCCGGCAGCGCACGCCGGCGCCAGTACAGCTCCCAGCTCAGCACCCGTCTCGCCATGCGCTCAGCGGTGGCTGCTCGTGCTGCTCGTCGCGCTGCTGACGGGCGTCTGCGCCGGCCGGCAGACGTTCGAGCGGCACTCATTCACCGTCGGGCCCGACACCTTCCAGCGCGACGGCAGGCCGTTCCGCTACGTCTCCGGCTCGGTGCACTACTTCAAGGTGCCTCGCGCCTACTGGCGGGACCGGCTGACGCGGCTGCGCGCGAGCGGCGCCAACGCGCTGCAGACGTACGTCCAGTGGAGCGAGCATCAGCCCGAGGAAAACGTCACCGACTTCAGCGGCCAGCGCGACCTGGAGGAGTTCGTGCGGATGGCGCAGGAGCTGGGGCTGCTGGTGATCCTGCGGCCGGGGCCCTACATCGACGCCGAGCGCGACCTGGGCGGCCTGCCGTACTGGCTGCTGCGGCGGCCGGGCGTGCGTCTTCGGACCAGTGACCCTCGCTACATGTCGGCCGTGACGGCTTGGTACGAGCAGCTTCTGCCGCGGCTCCGGCCGCAGCTCTACGTCAACGGCGGACCCGTCATCATGGTGCAGGTGGGCCAACCTCACAGCACACTGGTTGCGGCAGTGCTGGGTGGGGTGTTGCTCGTTTAGGAGGCGCCTTCCCATGTCGGCTGCCACTGATCAACTGGTGCATTCCTGGGATTATCCCAAGCTCATTATCTCCTTGCGTGCTCGCGACCCGGATCTCTGTGGTCGTTCGACGCGTTAGGCGATGCATGCAATGCACACAGCATCGCTCATTGCAAGGCAAACCAAAGGGAACCGGATTTAACTGTTAAATGGAGAGGTTGCTGCCGTGAACACATAAATGCAGCCATAAAGAAGATGATCGGAACACCCACGATGTTAGAAGTCCAACACAACATTTATCATGCCAAAAGACGCATCGTGCAACGTCGTAGTGTTCAACTACGTAGTGTTCAACACCAGGGCAACTGCTGCCACCTTCTCGGTCGTCACGGAGGATTAGTTCCGGTGAGACAACCTTGTTACGATATAGGCCATGCTGGCGCCCGGTCTGATGGGCTGGGCGCTAACGGGGTCGGCAAGCAGGTCAGCTAACGGATCACCAGCTCTCTGGTTAGGCCACGTAACTGGTCACCAGCTGACTGGCGCCCCAGCCCGCGGGACAGTGCTCATTCGGTCGTTCGCGAATGCACATCGCTGTCGGGAGGCCAGATACGAGCCGAGCCAAGATCCAACCGGTGAGAACAGAAGATGGCGCGGTCGGAGACACATCGGTTGAGTGCGCGTGTGGCATCGATTTTAAGAGGGACACGCGATTTGCGATACGCCGGCACTCGAGCCACAGCAGTCGGCTCGCTACGGACGGCAGCACCGTTCGCACTCGCCGACTCACACAGGCGGCAAATATCCACCGCCTTCTGCAGAGTCAGCTTTGGCTCGTGCAGTATGTTCTTCAGCGCCTCCTCGTCACGTGTACCGACCACTATCCTGTCACTGTACCGGACGTCCATACACGCGCCACAAAAGTCAAAATAAGCGAAGATGTCTTTGATTAACGGCACGAAATCGTCGAACATCTCACCGGACTTCTGGACACCCTAGTAGAATTCCGTCGGTTTAGGATTAGACCGCGCCGACCTCGCAGATGAGCTTCCATCGTGTCGAGAATGGTTGTCAGGTCCACGTCCGGGGCGCGCTGGAGGCTGTGACGCAACGCCCATGTCCACACGTCGTCAAACAGGGACATCAGGGCCGCCTTCCGCCCCGCGACGGACGGCGTCTCCAGACGGGTCAGGAATCTGAAGTCGGTGAACTTCTGGCGCAGCGCGCCGAACTCCGTGAGAGACGCGGAGGATGTCAGGTGTGACGCCGAGGTAGCGCTCAATCCGTGAGAGCGCGGAGGATGTCAGGTGTGACGCGCGAGGTAGCGCTCAATCCGTGAGAGACGCGGAGGATGTCAGGTGTGACGCCGAGGTAGCGCCCGATCCGTGAGAGACGCGAGGAGGTCCGATCCGTGAGGAGACGCGGAGGGATGTCAGGTGTGACGGCCGAGGTAGCGCCCGAATCCGTGAGAGAACGCGGAGGGATGTCGGTGTGGAACGTCCGAGGTAGCGCTCAGATCCGTGAAGAGACGCGGAGGAAATGTCAGGTGGTGACGCCGAGGTACGCCCGATCCGTGGAGAGACGCGGAGGATGTCAGGTGTGACGCCGAGGTAGCGCTCAATCGTGAGAGGACCGGAGGAATGTCAGGTGTGACGCCGAGGTAGCGCTCTAATCCGTGAGAGACGCGGAGGATGTCAGGTGTGACGCCCGAGGTAGCGCCCGAATCCGTGAATGAGACGCTGGAGGATGGTGCAGGTGTCAGCGCCGAGGTAGGCGTCAGATCCGTTGAGAGACGCGGAGGATGTCAGGTGTGGGACGCCGAGGTAGCGCCCGATCCGTGGGAGAGACGCGGAGGATGTCAGGGGTGACGCCGAGGTAGCGCCCGATCCGTGAGAGACCCGGAGGATGTCAGGTGTGACGCCGAGGTTAAGCGCTCAGATCCGTGAGAGACGCGGAGGATGTCAGGTGTGGACGCCGAGGTAGCGCCCGACGCGTGAGAGACGCGGGGGATTCAGGTGTGGACGCCGAGGTAGTCGCCCGATCCGTGAGAGACGCGGAGGATGTTCAGGTGTGACAGGCCGAGGTAGCCGCCCGATCCGTTGAGAGACGCGGAGGGATGTCAGGGTTGACGCCGAGTTAAGCGGCCCGATCCGTGAGAGACGCGGAGGATGTCAGGTGTGGACGGCCGAGGTAGCGCCCGATCCGTGGAGGAGACTCGGAGGATGTCAGGTGGTGACGCCGATGTAGCGCGCCCGATCCGTGAGAGACGCGGAGGATGTCAGGTTGTGACGCCGAGGTAGTGCTTCGGCGGGATCTCGCAGCCTCGCACCGTGGCGGCAAGCGGCGGACGGCGACCTGGTGCGCGAGACGGCTGGGGAACGGCAGCTTCTGACTGGGCAGCACCCCGCTCCAGCATGGAGGTGAGCTGCTCCTTCCGCTGCGCGCCGCCTGCTCGGACCTGCTGCAAGACCCAGCAGTGCCTGCCCAAGCGCTCGAGCAGCTCGCCCGCCACTCACCTCCGACGCGAGCGGTCCAGCACGGCGAGCACGTGCGACAGGTTACTTACCACCTCTTAAAATCGGTAACACAGTGTGAGTGGTGACCCGTCAGCTGACCTAACGGGTCACATGACCCGACGCCGGCAGGCCTATATCACAACAAGGTTGTCGCACTGGAAATCATCCTCCGTGACGACCGAGAAGGTGGCAGTAGTTGCCCTGATGTTGTCCTCAGCTGACAACCCAAGCCCCCGTGCAGAACAACACCAGCGCGTATGCTTGTACCTCAGGGTCTGTGCTACCAACCTCCTGGATGCGGCCCAGTGGCCGGGACTTGTATTTCTGCGGTGGCTGCGCTGGTGCTGTCGGAAACATGGCTGTCGGCATCAGGATGATGCCGACGCAGAATGACAAAAAGGGAAATGCTCCCTCCAAAGGGAGGCAAGGCAAACGATCACGGAAAGGCAAACTCTGTGGTCAGGCTACACGGTACGTTGTAACATCTCAGCACGTTTGGCTGTTTGAATTACAGCCTTTTGGACCAGAAATGATCTTTCCAGGGCTATGAGATGAAGGAGAATGCATGGCGATGGGGCAGGACTACATGCACCTGGAGGGAGGGGGGGGGGGGGGGGGGTGACCATCGGGCCTAAGCCCACGCAGGGACCCCTCGGAATGTGCGTTGAACGTCCGGTGGGGGTCCCCCTTCAGGTGGGCGCCTCTCGACCCACTCGTGACTGACGCATGCAGCCTGCCCCGGATGAGCGGGGTGTCGTGAGGATGCGGGATGAAGCAAGAAAAAGGATAAAAGGGTCGGGGTGTTCAACGCGGCAGCCTCAGCACGGCACGTGTATGAACGGAGAGTGGCGACACCATTGCGATGTCTGTTTGCCTTTTCTGCCATCAACGGACAGCAGATAGCGACACAGACAGCGATCACTAATCTGTAGTTCAAACGCTTACAACACTGTCCACCATAAGCACACTGTAAACAAACTAAACACACACAAGCCGCTTCACGGCGTCAGTAGCACCGAACAGTCGGCTCCGTATCGGTCTGGGCCCGAGAGCCCATTTGTTCAACAGGAATTAGACCGGAGTCCACGTGTGACAGATTCCGGACTGCTAGCGTGACAACTATAACGGATTTCTGACTGTTAGCGTGGTAGCTATAACTAGCGCAGACCTCGCTCGTGTCAGTCTTGCTCGTGAATCAGTTAAGGAGAGATCTTGACAAACTATAGCTTTTATTTTTAACCCACTTGCACGCACCAACGCTCACACCACGACGTCCGGCGACACAACCAACGGCGGTCTTGCTCATGCGAGCCCAGAGAGAGTAAGAGCATTCATGGTCACCGATAGCACGGCCTTTATATGCTGTGGGCGTCGGAAATTATTCAAGGTCACAGGGTCCGGAAATGATGTGATAGTAAATAAACCAATGCAAAGTGAGTACGCCGATGGTTGGCTAGGCCATTCAAAAAGTAGGACATAATCTTGCGATCTTAGAACTATTTAATGCAACTGACAGGTAGTGAGCCTCTGAAGGCGACTTTTAAGGGAAGTATCGAATCGCGTTACGAAAGCCAGGCTTAGTTCAGGCTCCGACCAAACACATAGAATACAGTGAAATAACAGACAGATGAACAATATACAATAGCAGCGGATAAACAATAGCAGAAGACTTTTGCTATTATCTCGATAAAGACATGTTGCCAAAATAGCAACCCAACTATATCTCCATTCTCATGGTTTTTCTGAGAGGAATAAAGCTTATACTATTGTCTAATCTATGTGAAGAATGTTCCTCGCTAATGCACTGAACAACTTACGTAATACGATTTGCATGTACAATTTACGTAGACCGGACCTCCAGTATCACGTAAGTTGTTCAGTGCATTAGCGAAGAACATTATTCACATAGATAAAACAGTAGTACTAGCTTTATTCCTCGGAGAAAAACCAAGAATATATATATATATATATATATATATATATATATATATATATATATATATATATATATATATAGTTGGGTTGATATTTCGGCAACGTGGCTTTATTGAAACAGTATCAGAAGTGAATTCCAAAACAAATGCAGTAGTATTAGATAGTAGTATTAGTAGACGACAGTAGTATTAGCCTTATTCCTCGGAGAAAAACCAAGAGAATGGAAATATACTTGGGCTGATATTTCGGCAACGTGCCTTTATCGAAACAATAGCAGAAGTGAATTCCAAAACAAATTCACTTCTGCTATTGTCTCGATAAAGGCATGTTGCTGAAATATCAACCCAACTATATCTCAATTCTATTGTTGTTTTTCTCCGAGGAATAAGTCTGTCAGACCTCCAATATCTCTGTACAGTCCACGAAAAATTTCAAAGAAGTCTTTTCAGTGCTATCAGATTTGAAAGACTTAACTCAACCAACGGGAAATGACTAGTGTCGACGGCTTTT